TTACTTTGTAACGTAGCCGTTTGGATATGAATGAAGTTTCTCATATTTTCGGTAGTACAAACACGGAATTCAACTTTGCTCGTAGCTTATCTTCCAAAATACGATTATTCTTGTTTAGGAGGGACTGGACTTGGACATCGAATAAGATGTTATTTCTTGCATCTGTTGGTAAACGCAGGTCGATTTTCTTTTGCTGCAAGGGTCAGTTAGTTTAACATGATCAACAAACGTGTCTTATAAGAACTTGACATTGCAAACTAGTGAACAAAAGTTTAACTGCAAGCGAGTTTTTTCTACAAGCAATTAATTTTAGCACTTGTACAAGAATATCACATAGTGGTTTAAAAGAAATTTGATGTCTCAATTTTATTTTGATATTATTACAGGTTGCGTACCAATGTGTTTCACGAATGATGAAATTAATGTATATTATATGATTGATTTCTTTGAATTGTACAATTATTACTTGAAATGCTTGACACTCTAATGTTAATAATATAGTAAATGTTTCAATAAACTAATACCGTTAGTCAATCACAACTGCAACATTTTCTGATTCTTTCAATATTTTAAATATTATACACTATATTTTCAATCTCATATTGTACTTGAAATATTTCCAGTGTTTGTTCTCTTTTTGTTTACAATTATAAGCAATATTTATCCATACCTTATGTTCAATGTGATTAGATCATGTATATTGTTCACTGGATTTTACTATTCTCTCAGAAATGTAACACCAAGAGGCGAACGAATTTGTTACACAGCTTAATATTTATCCATATAACCTATATGGATTAACATGGTGCATTTATCGTCTTATCTCAGACATAATATTCATTTGCTTTATAATTTATGTAGTTATTTTTTAATATAACTCTTAAATGACATGAAATTATATTAAAAAATCAAATAGACAAGTTTGGTATCAGGAATCTGTCCAAAATGTTTGATACAATGTCTTAAATGTTTAAATTAATGGTATAAATCTTGTACTAAGTATCAAAGAGTTGGCTGATTCACATCTTACTCAATAGTCAGGTGAAATTGACTATTTACTCACAAATTTACTTACGAGTTTAACAAACGATAAAACAATAAAATTTTTTGCATACATATTTTCGTTTTTAATGCATGTAAGACTGTTTTGTCAAAAAATGAAAATAATAAGTTACACTTATTTTCAAACCAAAAACAAAGATAACCTATTTTAAAATAAAAATAGAAGTTACTTTTGCTCAGTATGGCCGTCTTACTCCGATTTCCCTTAATGTTTTTCTCGTTTCGATAATAAATCTGCTTTCTTTCGAAAATCCATCTCTCCACTTGTTTACCAGGCGCAGTGAAACAGTTTAATGTATCGACTGAGAGAGACGTACGCTTGTTATTCGAAAAAAGCAACATAGGTTATGTCTTCCAACGGCATTACTACCGTATTTACTTTCGTAAATTGTCGTTGTTTTCCTCACCATTGAAATCCCATTTACAGGGGTTTTCTCTAGAGAAAATTAATGACTCACTCATAATAAATGATATAATAAATCATTCGTTTACCTCCCGTCTGCGACTACTTACAATAACCTCACCTTAATCTCCGATACTCGAACGGTCGAACGTTAAACATTGTTACGCGACAGATATCCCGTACAAAGTCATTAACTCGAGATTTTGACACCGAGGCGCTGGCAATAGCATCATGGCGCAGTTGTGACTTGTTACCGAGAGACGCGCTACAATGAATAGAGTACGCGGAGCTTTGCTCGTTATAGCAGAGAGAACAAACTTGTTCGCTGTGCTCGAATTCCACGATCCCGCTATTACAGGAAGACAGAAAATACGGGATGGAATTTTCAACATGACGTTTAATTAAACTCCGGGAACGGGAAATCAGGCCGTACAATTATTGCAAGGCCGTTTAAGATAAACAGTTCTAACTCGTACGCTAAACATATAAACGATATCGTATTGCAAATTGGCTACGGAGTTTCATTGTTTATGCGATGTTTTACTACGTTTTTTACTTCGTTCGTGACATTGTGCCGTGTTATTTCGGGAAAACTCCGGGATGAAAGCGCTTTTTCTTCCTCGAAAAAGCCACTCTGTTTTATTTCATAAGTTCTCGAAAAACTTCTCGCCTGCCCTGTCGTAAATACGCGACATGCAACGCGCTGGGGTTTCGTTTCGAATCGCTTCGTTTGCTCGAAAGTTTTAAAAGCTGTGAACACGAATTTACGTTTTTGTACAACTGCCGAGTGGCGAAATTATTGACGGAGAAACGACATAGTTTCTGTCTGGAATGCGTACGTCGATATTTTAAAGATTATTCACAATCTCGACACGCCCTTTCGCGACAAATACGATCGAATTGCTGAGTTGACCAAAAGGCAATTGCGTTTTTTCCCTAATAGATGGAGATACAGGTATGTAGCGACATCTATTTAGTCCTATAAAAAGTTACCATGGAAATACAATAATTACCATGTTACAAACAAATTGCCGAGAATATATATAATGGTAAATAAGAAATTAATAAACAGTCGTCAGTCGTCAATCT